TTGAATCGCTTTAAATATAAGGAATCGCTTTAAATATTCAGTAGATCAGAGATGATAACAATTTTCTACTAATACTTCACTACCAAAATAATAACATTAGATGTGGTTATTGCAGGAATATCACTGAAAACAATAAAAAAGTAAACCAAAAGTTATAAAGAATATTGTTTGCTTAACCGCGTGTATATACATAATATAGTCCTATAATTTCTCACTGATAAAATAAGTGATACAATTTCTCGCTGACAATACCATCGCTTTTATTAGCCGGCTATATCTTCCTTTCAACGAGTACTGAATTAAAAGAGAAAGGGTGCAGCGTTGCTCATCTAATCTACCACTTTTAGGTACTTGCCTAGAAAAGTCTTTCAATTAAAAATTCACTCTTCTTTAACTTTCCATGCATTATCTCTAACACGTTTATTGAAGCCGTGTTTCTCAAAATGGTACAATAGAATGAATAAAATCAGTTGAACACTTCTCTGTGGTATCATACCCTCCCCACTTAAGATTAATGTGAGCACGTCTTTCATGAGTCAGTCTACTTGTTTTTCTATGTAATCATCTATCAATGTATCTATCTATTGACCTGTGTATCTATGGATCCATAATTATATCTATGGATCCATAATTGATTAAATTTTGAAGAATTTCATATACAATCCATATATTTATCTGTCTATCATCTATCTATACATTTATAATTATATATATTATAATAATAATAATAATATATAATAATATATAATAATAATATATAAATAATAATATTTAATATATAATATATGTATATAACAATATATATATTATTGTATATAATTTGCATTTTTTCTACTACTTATTATAATTTATTAGTTTACAATAGATCTAATTTGGAAGGAGATTTTTTACTTATACTATACGGTAAAATGATTACAATAATTCTAAAGCATCAATCAACAGAATATGGTATATAGAAATGATAAGTAATTATATTAAAGACATTAACTTAACATTTTAATGCATATGCCTTAGTGTGGAACCGAAAATTAAATTTTACACTTTTAAGTATGCGATTAGCCAAGTAGAATCTTAAGGTTTACAATAAAATGATGTGCATAGCATATGCGAGTATATTTTAAAAATACTGTGTTAAAATCTAATTATGGATGGATAAAACCCTTTCAGCGCATGCTGAAATACTTGAATGCTTACGCTCACATACTACATAAGTTACTTTGGACTGCTAATGTACGCTAATAGCCTTAATAAAAATGTTACATTTATTTAATTTTATTTAAAATTTACGCTACTCAAGCAATTCCATTAAATAGAAACGTGTCCAACGGCAACATTTAGATTCGCACCCGCAATCAGTTCCACATTCATCTACCTCTGTAACCATCTTCCCTTGTCATTAAAGCACACGTTTCTCAAATCAAATTACCGCATAACATGCAAGGAACGTAGAATACGGGGTACAAATGTACAGAATTTAGTGCTTAAAGAAATTCCTACTATCACATCGGGAAATATTCATTTGCATTTGCAAAGGTCTTCGATACTTGTAAATGTTGTCACAACACTTGTCAAATCGATAAACAAAACTTTTACAAAACCATAAAAAAGGCAACTGGCAGCAGAAACAGCAAGGGGAACGCGCTACTATATATAATGTACGAGTATGGAACAGAGATTGGGTTGGTTAAGTGGGCGGACATATTGGCATTCGGCATGACACCAAATTATGAACATGAGCCCTGCCAACATCTCAACATCAACATCAACATCAACACCAACACCAACACCATCACTAACACCAACTATTAGAAGACCGACCTACTCTATTGCAGTTACCACCATAGCTCACTCCATTACTGCATGTGGCAGAGAAGAAATCAATTTGATTAGATTTAAATTTAAAGTACGATGATCCAATGCAGATTTTTATGTTACGGTCACGTGGCTTCAACATCAAGAACATCGAACGTGTGTCTAACATAAGTTAGGGTCGTCAACCGTGAAAGGGAAAAAAATTTTGAAAGAAGTCATACACTTTTAATGGACCAATATAATTTAGGCTCTGCATAGAAAATAATCCACATTATATGGTGAACTTTGCGATATGCACAAGCATCCGGATACGGATACAGCATACAGAATACAGCATACAGAATACACTGACAGCAAATTCTCTCACTGAGCTTTTGGCCTTAAATCAAAAACATTTCTTTCACTGACAATCAATAAACATATTATTTATCTATTATCAACTTAAATAGTCCCAAAATAATATAACGAGTACACCTACGCAATTTAGTACAGAAATCATTTTGAATGATACCTAAGTATGCAATAGCGAGTGGTGTGTATGAGTGTGTAGTGTATGTACGAGTATACGTTAAAGATTGAAATAAAATTAACTGGAAAAAAATTACAATTACAAAATGAAATATTTTAATCAGTGATGCTTAAAATTTAATTGGACATGAAACATATTCGCAAACAGCAAAAGTCAGCAGCTTCAGCAGCTTCAGCAGCTTCAGCGCCCTGAAGCGAGTATCTGAACGCACAGCACCCTCTTAACGCAGAGCACCCTTAAAATAAACAAACAATAAAAAAGAAAATAAATACTTAAATAATTCAATTTGGCAACTTAATAGTACAAGTTATAACCCGGGGTTATGCACAGCTGCACCCTCACACTAATGCAAAACCACAAAACAACAACAACAAAACACAACAATAAATCCAGCATTTGCTGCGTGAATACTCCTCGTATCTGTAACTCAACTACTCGTACTCGTAGCGAGTACTACTAGTAATATTTTCAAAATTAAAACTGAGATTCAATTCCGTTCCGTTCACTTTGCCCTACACCACAACTCCATAACACCATAACTCCGTAACTCCGTAACTCACTAATCTTAACAAGTACAAATTAATGCTGGCTAATAAAATATTATTACCAGTTATTTATTTAGAAAAAAAAAAAAAAATTTCTAAATAATTTTAGTTTAAAATAATAATTTAAATATGTAAAGCAAATTTTTATTTAATATCTGCGTTTAATTCGAAAACTCGCTTTTACTGTCGTCAAACAAGCGAACAACAAACAAACAAGCGATATGTACCTATCTCGGCTGTGGAGAGTTATTAAGATTAATTTTTTTTTTGTTTTTTGTTTTTTTTTTGTTTTTTTTGTTTGAGGGAAATTTGTACAAATTACAAACAATCAAAAATTCTTTAAATATATAAGTCACTTTTCCGCCTGAACTCAATTTTGACCACATAATTCTTGTAAAAATAATTGCTGCATTTGCGGCGCGGTTACCGCTTTTGAACATGAACATAGAGACGAGTACTCTACGACGACTGCCCTTTCATATTCCAAATATGTACTCATAAATATGAGTACACACATCTTGAAAGACTTACCTGAATGCTCAACCATCCAATGGTCATCATTTCACGCACGGGTTTCTCACTAATTGAGTCTAAGTAATGAATGTCACATCAACATACATAGCATGTGTGCTGTGCTGTGCTGTACTGTGCTGTAAGAGGCAGCCTCGGTAGATGCGTTGCACTGGCTGCCCTTAAAAATAACTTAATTTTATTTCAGTTGAGACTTAAGCTTCGCAAAAGGTTTAACGTTGTTAATTCTTTTGTTAAAACCGAAGGCTGAAATTCAAACATCAAAGCGACCTAGCTACTTATTGCTTTATTTCATCAAATGTATGTAAATGTGATATACTATCAGCCGTTTTCTCTGCATATCTAAATATTTTGTTATCTCAACTGGATGACCTGTGACATTAGAAATTTTTTGAATATTTTTACGTAGCAATTGTATTTTATATATATACCTATATAACATATTACACAACTGTTTTCTAAGTATTTCATTAACATTTCATTATTTTGTAGATATTAACCTTTGTGTTAACACCCAATAATGTATACATTAACATACACCATATATACCCATACACCATACGTTTAAAAATCCTTAGCAACATGAACGACTATACAAATACAAATATACAAATGTTTTACATACAGACACCCACCCATATGTGTTGGGCGTTGATTATAACATTATAATAATATCGTACATACCCTATGATACCATCGACGAAGTAAAGCAATACAGAAAAGCTAAAGAATTCATGTCGAATCGATCAAAAACCAGAACTAGGAAGGGACTTGTTACAGGTTTTCTCACTGAACATTGCGGTGTAAAAAAACATCTATCAAACCTAAGTGTTACAAGAGACAATAGCTGCAAATTTTATTGCGAAGAAATGGAAATAGCAGAACACATTCTGTGTCACTGTGATAGTTCCGCCAGAATCAGACTTTGGTACTTAACAACTGCCTATCCACTTATAATGGAATTAGGCAACATCTCTCCATAGGACATAAGATGAATAGTTCCATAGGATGAAACTAAAGTGGGTATGTCACAATAATCCCAACCAGTTTAAAATCTAATCTTTAGGTACTTATCAACTACCTATCCACTTATAATGAACTTAGGCAACATCTCTGCAAAGGACATAATGGCGTTTTTAACTGCTTATCAACTGCCTATCCACTTATAATGGAATTAGGCAACATCTCTGCAAAGGACATAATGGCGTTTTTAACTGCTACTCGTCTATCAAAGTAAAGCGGGTATTCAGTGACGTGGTGACAAGTTCCCAACCTGTTTAAAATCTAATCTTTCGGTACTTATCAACTGCCTATCCACTTATAATGGAATAAGGCAACATCTCTGCAAAGGACATAATGAAACTCCTACTCGTCTATGAAAGTAAAGTGGGTATGCAGTGCGTTGTGACAAGTTCCCAACCAGTTTAAAATCTAAACTAATCTAAGGCAATATAGGGTTTTGCAAAAGTAACAATAAGAACTGACGACTTCGCTGACGGTCGGAGCTTTGTCTCCTACTAGTGGTAGTTGCTTTGGACAATAAAAGTCCCTCACTGACTAAAGTATGATATATACGATATAACATGTATGCAGTACTGCTTTCTGAAGTAAGTTTCTGTGTTAATGTTTGAATAAGTCACAATATTTGTAACCTGGATCTTGATTAAACCAACTCTTCCAGCCTTATATGGGCAAAATGTATATTGTTTACGTATTTATATTTAATTTACACATATCTAATATGAGAACATATAAATTTACATAAGTCGTTACATACTGTCGTAAGTCATAGTGTAAATACATACACTTATATGATATATTCAATTCGATCAGAGTTCATGGGTTATTTTTGAAACATTGCTTAATGCTTAACATTATATACGGGATGATTTCTTAATTCCTCACGCCAAATATGTACATCATACACTATTCTGCTCCCAACTCATGCCTTAGAAAGTTTTTAACTTCTTTGAACCGAGGAGCCTCCTATTTTCCATATTTCGATACGAACGTTTCTCACAAAACAGCTTTACAAAAATTATATAGTTTCTGATCGAGGTTCTTTCGAAACAAAAGGCAGAAGACTTTACGTCTCAGAATTAATAATTGTAGCATTAATCCACATACCTTCGACCTACTGCAAAAGATACTAGTTGTATAAATTGTTATAAACCTTGCTCCCAATTGCTTCTCTACTTCAATTATTGCATAAAAGCACATTCAGGGGCCTTCGATATTATTTCTGCTATAATAATAGGGAACCATTCCACTTCCACATGATATGTTAGTGCGTGCAAGAGTTCACTGTTGAACGTATTATGAGTTCATGAGTTTCAACCAGCTTATCATTGTTTTTCCACGTAATTTTCAATAGACTTGGCTCATTAATATCGTGATCTTGAGCCACCTTATAAACACATAAAGCACACGCACCACTAGTATGGAATCCTTCAAGCAGACGAAATCGGGGGCTGCCCAGAATGGCATAAAAAAGAGCAAAGAAATCGTTTAGCGAATTGAGACCAACAGTGCGAAGCAGAAACAATATGCGTCACATTGTCGATAGACATCTACAAATTACATTTAAACCTGCATTTGTTTCAACGAACATGTACTAATAATTCTTTTTTTTGCGAAGGCAGAGAGGGTTTTATGCCTACTGATTGACCACAATTCGGCCACTTGAAAATTGAGGGCCCGACTCGCACGGACTAAATCATCCCCCTCGTTCCTAGAGACCTTGTTCTACCCCGAAACTACATAAGTATTACTTCGAGGTAGGGTCGCTATTAGTCATTTAAGACTACCATCGGTGTGACCTGCGTTCGGGCCCAGCCATTGCTTCAGGTCATTTTTTCTGTCACCGTCGTTGGAAAGAAAATACCAACTTGCGCTGTTAGCGCTTCTATAAAAAACCGTTTAAGTGCGAAAGATGTGTCTTGGCTTTTACGACGAAGTGTAGACTTAACGTGAGAATTAAATACTGTGTTAATTGACTAAATTAAAATTAAATTTTTTTTATTTAGAGCCACATCGTCCGTTTTCACAGTGTGAATAAAAAAAGTTCTACTAGAACGTATCATTGCAAAACTTGTAACGAAAAGTTCGACTCTAATTGTGAAAAAAAATACACTATGAAACACCTGGTTCAAAATGCTATCAGCATACTACACCCAACTATCCTGAGACTGTGTCATCTGATTCAGTAGCTGATTTGTTTTTAGATTGTGCCAACTGTAATAAAAAGTTCTTGACACTTAAAGATTTGATGAAGCATCAGGAGATGCATGAAGCTCCAACATTTGAGTGCAAACATTGTACAGTATGCTTTACTAGCGAAACTGAGCTTTTGTACCATATGGTTAAAGTACACAAAGATGAGAACGATATTATTAATGAGGATCGATTGGGTTTTAATGTAAAAGACAACAACAATACTAGCATGGTGAAGCACGAATGCAGTATCTGCAGAAAATGTTTCACAAAGGGATCCTCTTTGAAATCACATATACGTTCTGCACATACAGATGAGAAACCGTTCAGTTGCTCTTATTGCTTCAAAAGTTTTAATCGCAAAAATATCCTCAATAGACATATAAGAACACACACAAAAACTAGGCCTGCTCTACATGTAAGTACGATTTAAGGGTCTTGAAAGTGCTTATATTGTATTTCAATTTCAATTTCGTTTCAGACTCATATAAATAGCTCACATGAGGATAATGTGGTTGAGACACTACTTTATTGCTCCCATTGCCAAGATATCTTCGGTAACGAAAAATATTTATTGGACCATACAGCAGCAAAACACAAAGGTGTCAAAGTTGATTATAAATGCGACACATGTGAAAAAGTATTCTCTGATTTAAAGGAGTATAAAGTACATATAGTGATGACCCATAATAATTCAAATTTAAGACTATTTAATATTTGTTACAGATTGTTAATATAAGAAATTTCGATCGATAAATTTCAGGAACGCTGTAGAAATAGTTATAATTGTGAGTGGTTAGCAATTATTATCAATAAGGAAATTGGATAAATTTTTATAGAATATATAGAATATATATAGAATTTATATATTTTTTAGAAAAATATTTTTCTGATTTGTTAGTTTGTTTGCATAAACCAATTTTACCAAATTTTAAACAAATATATATAGAAATATATACCCGATTTTGGTTGTCAAAAAATCTACAAGCAAAACAGAGACATTAATTTGCTTGAGAACAGGTGAATATACTAATAAGGATGTAGCCAAATGTATAACCACTACATCAGGGATTATCTATTAATCTAATCAAGAATATAAATACTACTCAGTCTATCTGCAAGTTTTATTAAAAACAATACCCAGTTTTATAAATGAATTATTAAATCTACCATGCTCTGCCAGGATTCCTATCATGATTCTTAAGTTGCATACAATTCTTAAATCAATTTCAGTTCAAAATCCCTAAAAGCGGTTTTGATTATGATAGCCCTAGTAGATTGTTCCAGTATAGCTTGTCCTATTTTTCAAGTTCATTCTGAATATGTTTTTAAATTACATTTTTCGTACCGCTTATTTTCTCTCTTTGGAAGTGCTCAAAGTACTATTTCGGCTACTAATATTGTGGCATTTATTAACTTAGATCCGTTTCTCAAATTGTCCGTTCCGTTAATTCCGTTAATTTGAGTTTGCTTATTCTTTCCTTATAAATACTAATTACTGTTTATAAAAAATAATACAAATACATTATGTTCCAGTTGTTGGCATTTTAAACAAAATTCTTAATTGGAACAATGTGAAGAGGATTAAAATAAAATACTTACTAAATTACTTAATATTTTCAAATACATATCAATATTATTACTTCAAGATTTGGTTTAGGACTTAAACTATATTTCTATCCTTAATAGCATCACTTCCAGTTATTATAGACTATTTTGGGTTTCCACTATTACTTGTAAAGGTAACCGCAGTTGCTTAACACGTAGCAAGTCCACCCCATGATTGTAAAGGAAATGAAGAGGAAAGAAAACTGGAAAAAAATTGAGATTAATTTTTAAATCCTTTATTCTCACTTACAAATCGATTATATTAAAGGGACAGTAGTCCATCGCAATCTATTATGCGTATCGTTAATTACGATAACAAACGAAATCTAAATAAATTAAATAGATACTTTCAGAACTGTAGTGTTGAAGATTATATGGTTTTATAAACAGTATCATCATCAACTAGGGTTGATATTATCTGATGTGGTAAATTCAGGGTGTCACCCATCCAGATTTACACAAAAGATTTCATCTTTTTAAAATAATTCAACAAAAGCAAAAAAAAATTATTTTGAGGTCAGAAGGCTTTTGTAGATATAACGTGATGTTATAGCTAAATTTTCTATATGAACACATTGAACTTCTATTGTTACCATATATTTATCAAACTTATTCTCCCATGATTAAAAAGACGCATAATGAACGTCTCCAACGTGTCATTAATAGACTTTTTATCGTAATACCAATATATTCATTTAAAACATCCAATCGATTAGTAGAATAAACAAATATTTTCTGGCAAGTGCCAATAAAGAATATATATACACCATTCTGCGAAAGAAAGTGTTGTCATGTGCAACCTATGTTCTATGTTTTCATTGTCTCACTGTACTTTCAAAATGGCCTAAACATTCCCATGGTTCACCGACATTATTGCAGCATTATTGCAGCGTTGAACTTGCACATTATTATGCCTATTTTGCAAGAGATCAAAGTTCTCTTTTATATATCTACTTACTACAGAAATGTGGCCAGTGCTTGAAATATCAGATATGCTTTCGAAAAGATCTCTTTAAATTTTATATTTTAGTCCGACACGCCTCTGATGGTAGATACTGTTTACATGAATAAACATATATGTAGTAAAATATATTAATTGATTACATTTAATTAATTGTATTCCATCAAAACATAACATCATATCCTCTCTCTATAAAAATAAAATAATTTTAATCATCGTGTGCTATTTTCTTTTTCTTACTTTACTTTCTTTCCTTTACTGATTTTATATGTATATAATCAGGTGGAGTTCCTTTGCCTGTATGAAACGTTTGATAGTCTGTGGCAGTTCGTTAGTTTTTAAAGGTGGTTTCCTACTCTCAATCTATCCAACTTGCGGTTAAGAAACAGAAAATTCAATACCATTATTTGGGTTTTATTTGGACATCAAAAGAGTCTGAATACCTTCGATTTGTCAGTTTTTTTTTTCCTCAAAACGAGAATTGGTGCTATGACATATCCGTTTTAAACCGATTAAAATCAAAAAGCATATATCATATGGTACATAGAACTGAGAAGTCTACTGGAAACCATTTGCGTATATAAAATATATATTTTGAAATCTTAAAACATCACATCTATGTGTTCCTTTAAACTCGACTAATAAATATTGATGTAATAAATATTCGCTAAATAGAAAGGCTAAAATCGATTAAAAAATATAATCGAATAAAAAATATATAGGGTTTTAGGGTCCCATTAGAATTGAACATTACTACTATAGAAAATTTTTTGTACTAATGATTGTGGACTAAAATAAGGTCAAAACGGCAGATTTCAAAAATCTTTACATTAAAAGAAAGTGATGATCTGAGTTATTATCTTAAGTCTGTTAAGGAAGGATAAGATTAAATAAGAGCATAATTTAGCTGTTGATACTCGTATGGGGAACAATCTAATATAGATATATTTATGAAAGAGGAGTGAATTTAATTGTTTGCATATACAAGGCATATATACATATGTATATGGCACATTTCCTCATTCGTTTTGATATATGTACATACATACATACATACGCATATGCAAGTTATAAACACTTTAAATTAAATAAAACATGCAAAGTGTTATCCTGTGAGACTTTTTACCTGGTGCAATACAAATGTTGGAAACAAGAATGTACATGCATAACAACCCGTGCATTCGCAGATGACAGAACAAATAGCTAAATTCGCTCTCCTGGGACTCTGTGTAAATGTCTGTATGTCAACGTACTTATGCAATGCATCCGAAGCGTTAATTCGTTGTTGAAGCTAGTCTTCATTCACTCTTCTCGTTAGTACAATTAAGATGAAAGTGTTCTTTAACTGTAAGAACTGCGCTATTCAATTTTTGTTCATATACTTAAGTGTCCCATTAATTTGTTGGTTAATTGCGACTCTAAAAACGCTTTGTTCATGTCGGCCACCACTCCGAAAAGGAGGCCCCATGAGTTGACTTACAAGTAATTTGTGATTTAAGATTACCACCGTCAATTATGAATTCCACATGCTACAGAGTTTTGCAAATATTGTGCCGAGTATACCAGTACTCGTACGAAGTATTCAACTATTTCAATTTTAAATATACTATTGAGAAGCTTTTAACTATTCTCAATTATATAAATAAATTATTACTAATATCTTAATACATGCACTTTACCATTGAATAGATAAGTCCAACCACTTAAGGTACTAGAGTCGAAATCCCAAACAAGCAAAAGCTACCGATACACACTTAAACTCTGAGGGAATAGAGTCATCTTCCTTGGACGAAGGAAGATGATATTATTGAATGTTGATTAATACATATACATATGTTTCAGGGAATGCTGAAATAAATGGGTCAGAAATTCTTAATATAGGTAAATGGTTTTGATTTTTCTATTTTTAAAGAAATAACTTGTAAATATCGAGTTCAGATTTAAAATTTTCTTATAAAAAAAATTTTTTTTTAAAACTAATTTTTTTCAAGCTTTACCTTTAAAATACAGAAAAAACTCACTAATTTATTAATAATTCATTTATATAGGCTGTTCACATTCTCTAAACAAAGTACTTACTGTCAACAAACATATCCCCTAAAAGTCTTCAGACCCACGACACTGCACACACACACATATATAAGTTCGAAGTTACTTACATAGTTTTATACAGTATTTTGAATGGTTAAAATTTAACAAATATATATTATATATAGCATGGAATATATAGTTTTAAATGATTAAACATTTTCCGATTAGAAAAGTGTTTGGTTTGACATTTGCTGGTAAAAACATAATAGAAAACGTCCACATTTTCCATGATTGGATCCAGTGATTCATGACAAAACAGGTTTGTAGAGGTTACTAAGTAAATAAATTCTCATTAGTTTCCTTAATTCGTTTTCAATACTAAAGGGAGTAGTTTATAGTCGATATAAATTCTTGAAGTGTGAAATCAATTACATTAAAAAGTACATCAGATTATAAGTTTTTGCAAAGGGTCTAACGCAGCTCTCTTTCTATTTCTGTTGCCTATATAAATACTTATAGGTAGTATACCTATATATTCCACTTTAAGTCCACATATATATTTCTCGTATTTCATTTTAATCAAGTAAAAGCAGTTGTTCCAAAGTTTTACAATGTGACCAAATAAAGTCAGATATACGTTGGAGTCTTCATTTATTTAAGACTGTTTTTTTCATATATCGCTCTACAATTACAGAGATATTGTTTCTAACAATCCAGGTATAATAAAATGTAAATATACTATACATCAGTATTAGTTGACATTCGAAATATCAGCTACATAATGTGATCATAGTAGATCGACCATACTATTTATAAACAATATACGGAAATAGCTATTAAGTAAATAAGGTCCAGTTTTTTTCATAATCTTTTTTTTGTTTGAACACTACAAGTAAAAGCCAATCGTTTCAAAAAGTCTAACCAAAACTTTATGAGACTACAAGTATAGAGACAGATATATAGAAAGACAGGCACAATATCATCGCCAAATCATTTATTGTCAAAGATATACTCGTACGATTTTTGTAATATTTAAAGTCTCCATTACTGCTATACAAATATATTGATCATTTAAATCAACTTTTTTGACATTTTGTGTTAACAACACAAAAATTTTTAAGAAAGATAAGCGAAAAAACGATATTTAGAAAGTGGT